TGTTGCTTGCCTGGAATGTGTTCCTGAACTGCAATAGTGCCTCTTGCTTGCCTGGAAAAAGGATGGAAAAATATCTTGTGTGTATGAACCCCTCTGGCTTTTGCCACTGTGAAAAGGTTAAGCGTCACATCCATTTGCTCTGATCGCTTTTGCACCCAACCCCACGCACTACTGGTATCTGACACCCCAGAGTTTTGCCCACAATGGAATGCACCCCTCTTGCTAGAAATGGTCTCCCTACCCTTGTGGGGGGGAGGATGTCACTATTTCTGTGTATATTGCCCTCCCAGTAAGACACTTCAGCTCACAAATTACTCAGAAGGTAGTGAGACAGAAAATAATTCACTGGAACCAGCAGCCTCGTGATGGACTTTGTCAGACAACTGCTGTTTCCTTTCTTGCCTACAAAGGAGCCACCTGTATTGCATCTTGAGATGTGCTTGCCATTTACGCAGCCAAGTTGTTTTCCCCAGAATATATATATTTATTTTTGAAAAAAAGAAAATACAACAAAGCAAAAACCTTGCCTCTCCTCCACTGCCACCGCCACCCGCCTTATCCCTTAAAAGGTGCAGCGTTGTTACACTTGGCTGGCTATAACAGACTCAACTCCTTTGAAAGTAATGGAATTACATTGCCATCACAGTTCACTGGTCCGCCTCATTTTGGAAAATTCATCTTTCTTAATGTCTCGGTTGCAGCAAAAGCTCAGCGGTGGCTACTAAGATCTCAGCTGCTGTAACCCAGTTGCGCAAACGGCCTGGAGGATGCCTTTGCGGTCGCTCAGAGGAGAAAGTGTAGGGCCGTGGGGATGGAGCCGGGGTTGTTAGGCTGGAGGGCTGCTCTGTTGGAGGCCTCCCAAGAGAACTGGAAGGAACACGGTCCGCCACAGCCTGCAGCTGCCATCCTCTTAATACTTGTCAGTATGTATGCTAGCCCACTCCGTTGCTTCCCACACAAAAGCACAAGTCGAAGTAATTTGAAGTATGGTTGTATAACCCCAGGAGGTCACTCTGCAAAAGACGATATTGTGGAGGTTCCCTGCCCCCAGTCTTCAAAACCCAGCACCCCAAGGGACTTCATATCAATTGCATTGAGTTTATGAGCGAGAAGGGAAGTCGTTCTAACTGGAAGAAGAGCTTAGATTTGGTAGGGCATGGGAATGTGGCTGAAAGCCTTGATTCTACTTTCTTTTGTTTATTACCATTACAGTCTTTATACCCTACTAAGATTCAGTTTTTAGGGACCTGTTCCCAGGAGGTCACTGTCCTGATAATGAGTTGCAGACCCTCAAGTGTCCCTATTTTCCAGGGAAAGTCCTGGATTTGCAGAGGCCATCCTGGTTCCTGATTTGATCCCTGAATGTCCCACTTTTCCTTAGGACATCCCTATTTTCATTGGAGAAATGTTGGCGGCCATGGAGTTATGTGACCCCTGAGCCAAGGAGATAAGTAACTATACAATCTTTAAAAGACATATGAAGGCAGCCCAATATAGAGAAGTTTTTTTAAAATGTTTAAATTTTTATTATGTTTTTATGCATGTTGGAAGCCACCCAGAATGGCTAGGGCAACCCAGTCAAATGGGTGGGGTATAAATAAGAATATGATTATTATGATTTTTATGGAATAGGACATCCCTATTTTCATTGGAGAAATGTTGGAGGGTATAGAGTTGTTGTTAGAGGGGGGATTTTCCTCTGGTGGCAGATGACAGGAACTACGACACCACAAAACTGGTGTAAAACCAAATCAAATAAAGGTTTTATTACAAAACAACAAACAACAAAGCTTGTGGGTGTTTTCTCCCTGCAGGCAAAGTTCAAACTGCAACTTTTCCTCCTTTTGTAGTCATGACCAGCTGTACCCAATCTGCCCAAAGCTCACAGAAACAGTTCTTAAAGGTACAAACATCTTTACTGTTTCTTTGCAGAATGACTCCCAACAGTTGTATCCAGCTGTGGTTGTATTCAAAGTTGACCCATTTAAAGGAATAGATCCATGTGTGTTGCATCCATTGATTTCTGCTCTGAGTTGGACTGATATTGCATACCAGCCTTTGTCCCTATTTTGCTTTTTGGTGATGCTTTAAAAAATGTTCCTGTGAACTTTTGGAACTGTTATTCTTTAGTTAGACTGAGGTATAAATGAGGGGTAGGTGCATCTCATTTCTGGTTCAGCATCCTGTTCTCACAGTGGCCACCTGTGGCAAACCTGCAAGCAGAACCTGAGCACAAGAGCACTCTCCCCTTCTGTGGTTTCCAGAAACTGCATTCAGCTGCATTACTGACAACAGAGGGAGAACATAGCCATTATAGTAGCTGTTGATAGGTGCATCCTCCAGGAATTTCTTCAGTGCTCTTTAAAAGTCATCCAAGGTGGTAGCTATTACTGCCTTTTGGGGGAGCAACTTCTGTAGTTTAACTCAGCAGTCATAACTGTGCCCAGTACCCACTGGCCTAAACATCACAGTCTCTGACCCTCAACATAAGACGAGGCAGAAGTTGTGAGAGGCCTTTCTGAAAACTCCTACCTGCTTTCTGGCTCAAATATTTCAGGCAGGGCAGATTTCAATTCAACCACCACCCTTCCCTGTTTTTCTGCATAATTAACCATTGGCCATGTTTCTGGGTGTCTAAGCCGATTACAGTGGACCTGCATACCATTTCCTAAATAGGCAGACTGATCGATTGATCAAGGGCAGATGGGATGTGACAGTGGGATATTATGGCAGACCTCTCCTCGTGATGAATGGGCCCACCTTGACACAAACTCCAAAGCTTTGCCTCTCTGTAATAAATCTCAGCATGGAGTCATCTGTCTCTGACCTGATGCTTGGAATCAACAACTTGGGATACTGAAAATTTCATTGTCTTTATGAACATTTAAGTTGGCTTGGTGGCATAAAAGCAAACCCTCAGCTTTCAATCTCTTTAATAGTGGCAGTCTCCATATTATTGCTTTTTTGGGAGGGGGTGGTGGTAAAGGTAGCAATTCATAAGTGATTTCTTCCCGGCTCACCCCCACCAGCCGGCAAGTTCTCTGCTAATATAGAGGTTACATCATTTTAATGAGGTAGTCATTGGGGAAGGGCCATGATACAGAAAATAACATTTAAGATTGATTTAGCAAGCATGTGATATAGTCAGTGTCACAATACCAGATGCCAACAATAAGCACTCCTGGATAATTTCAGCTCAGGACTGGGTGGCCAGTGTTTCATTGCAACTGCATGAAATCAAGTGTCTGAAACAGGATTTCTCATTGTGAGAATTTTCATCCTGATTAGTATACAAGTAGATTTGAAAATGTGTCTAGCATTTACTAAGGACTCAAAAGTACGGAAGGAGGTTCAGTGATCAGCGACAGTGCTTAATCTCTGAAATGCATTCTTGAACTATTTTAACCAGTGCTGTACTGAAATTTGTCCTCCAGTTTCTTGAAAATTTTCTTTCTTTGCAGAATAGACCAATATTTTGTTGGAGTAACATTAGACTGCTTCTAATTTCAATATATATAATGATACAAACTCTGATCCATCAAACCTCTAACATGTTCATAATTAAAACAGAGATTTGTCTTTTCTGCACCTGTGCTGTCTGTGTTGGCATAACTAAGAAACAAACTCTGCTAGGCAAAGTTCTTTAACAAACAGGTAGCATTATTGCGGCTTCTGCCCATTGCTCATTCACAACCTTTGCCTCAATCTGAGTCTTCATGTTGATCAGCTCATTTTGCAAAACAACAACATATGCAGGAAGTTTTGTGTCACATGACAGAGGAGGGAAAATGAAGTCACACTGAATGCACCATATACTCAAGATGCACTTAGGCTATGTGTATGTGCAAAAATGTGGTTATGTTTCAAAAGTACGGGAGAGTTTGCATGCAAATGTATACCTCTGAATTCAGTTGCCTTCAGTTGTGAATTGCAACAGGATTCATCCATCTGTCTTTCTGCACCAAGGACAAATACTAGGGATGTGAAAGATCCCCAAGATTTCATTTAAAAAAACAAACAAATTCTAATCCCTTTCTGAGTTGCTCTGTGCTCTTTTCGCTTAGATCTGTGCTTCAAGTGCTGAGCTGCGATGTATAAAACCAAATTCTGTATTTACCACTCACTATAATGACGACTACAATAAAAAGGCAGATCAGTCCAAGACTTTACAGGCAGTGTTCTGGACAGTCTCGGATTGTAAGGAAATACAGAAAGGAAAGGCTGGTATAAAGTCACATTTACTTTAAAAAAAACACACCCCAAATGCATGTAAGGAAAGGCTGGTATAAATTCACCTTAAAAAAAAAAAAGCACAAACAAGCACACCGCTTGATTACCTCTTATTTTAGGTCAAGAAAGAGCAAATCTCTCTCTCTCTCTCTCTCTCTCTCTCTCACACACACACACACACACACACACACACGGATAAAGGAGCATGGAAGAACGTGAATTCCTTTTACTTCCTCCACAGAAAGCCTCTAGAACTATTTATACGCAATTTCACAGGCTTAATCCAATCCACTCTGTTGAGCTTCCTGTATCTGTAAACATTATACGTTTTAATCAAAAAGTGGGGGGAGTTATAGCAATTTTTAGATTTCCCCATTAAAACAGCAACATAGGATTGAAAAATAAAATACATGTAGCTTTTGCCTTCTGAAACAAACACTTTGCTCCTGTGATTTACCAAAAATAACAAAAGCAATTCAGAGCTCTTTAGTGTTCTGCAGACAACATCTAAGACAGCTTAGCTTCTTTAATAGCTTAGAAAAACATTGAGCCATAGGAGAACATAGAACCATACAAAAGAGAAAAGTAGAGAAACAATAGAATGACACAGCTTTGCAGGGGAACTAATTTTATTGTGAGTGGGGGGGTACCTTTGAATATTTGTTTTTTATTTCCTTTGATCATAAATGTATAATTCAAAAACATTTAAGCAATAAGAAAATAGAAAAAAGTTATTTTTTAAATTAAAATGAAACATACACAAAAGAGGTGTTGACATTGCGCTTCTACATATATGCACATTCATACTGTGAGAGATGGAGAAACATGCATATATGAAATACATATCTATGTTCTTGTGCTCTCTCAGCTCCCAGTAGATAGGACACTCATTATAACTCACTGAATTCATCAGCTGTTGCCACTGGGTGACCTACTATAGGCGTTTCCAGGAAATGGGGTAGCTAATAGACCATTTTGGAGTAGTGTTAAGATCACAGCTATCCTCTGCTTAAGGAGGTTAATATAAAACTAATTGGGGCCTGGGTGAACAGCTCACAAGACAAATGTGCCCACCTGAATTTTGAAAAGCTGGCTCAGTCTTCAGCTCTAACCCATATTCATCCCTGCTTCAGAGTTTCATCTTTTTTTAACTAAGGAGGAGAAAAAGAATGATAATAATCCATATATTATCATAATGGCTGGCCTGTTCTGGCCGTCAGCCATGAAAACTTCTAGAGCAACGTGTTACTTTTAGCACAATGAGGCTGCTAAAAGAGCGATATGAAGGCAAATGCAGAATATTATTCCCAAGAGGTACCATCAATGCTTTGCATCCTTCTGTTTTCAGTGGTATCAACACATATCAGCCATGGCAAAACATTGGTTTGTAGCCAGTGTAGCACAAAGTTAAAGCCCTTTTGCTTTGTATTTGTTCCTCTGGTGAAATGTTTTGCACCAGAGGAATGTTGATGCGCAAGAGGTTGCTGGCAACTTGGTTGCACAACAGATGTGCCGTCTGTTGAGCATCACATTTCCACTAGGTTGACTGTTGCATCGGATTCCTCCCTGGTGCATCATTGAAACTCATCCATCAGCTAGCACAAGAGCCATTGCACTGGTGGACAGACGTAACTGAACACAGCCCATTGTGGAATAACTGTGCAATGGAAGCCAGCTCTTTCCAAAGCTTCCCACTCAAATTTTGCCAACCAAAAGAGATCAAAGAGGCCACCTGTTTTCGTCTGCGGTGAAAAAATCATTCAGATTTGGAGGTTCACTTGTTTGGGTGAACACCACCATCATCATTATCAATTAAATTTGTATACTGCCCTTCATCCGAAGATCACAAAACATCTGAGGGATTTCAAGAAGGCAAAACCAGTCTTGATACAAAAAAAGTCAACCAACTCAGTAAGTATTTTCGGGTCCATAGGTAGTTATTGAGTTGCACCGAAAGTGAATATTTAGGGCCTGTTTTGGAGGATCTTATACAGGCAAACCATCTGAAAAAAATGTTCTATAGGTACCTAGTGGAGGGAAGTGACCGAATAGAATTTACATCACAACAGAGGTGAATTCTACCCATACAGTAATCTCCATGGGATGAAGGAGTGTACCTCCAAACAGAGAATTCTGGTGCTGAGATTGCAACAGTGAGATACCAACATTATCACAGACATGTGCTGAGGGAAATATAAATTTCCATCCTCATCTAGGTGTAGTGAAGGGGTCCAGGGGAAGCTGATATTATTGGAAGCATTTGTGGGCAACCGACTCCATCACAGAGCACATAGTTAATCAATGGACCTTGCTCCCACATGTGGTAGTGATGGCCAACAACTTGGATGGCTTGGAAAGAGAAGTAGAACAAAATTATGGAGGATATGGCTGTCAATGGCTACTAGCCATGGTGGCTGTGCTCTGCCTCCATGGTTGGAAGCAGTAATGCCTAAAAGTGGCCTGCAGACTGGCAGGGCCAGCCCAAAAGTGGCCAAAAGTGCCCAAAAGTGGCCTGCAGACTGGCAGGGCCAGCCCATTACTCGGGACCTTACATTCTTGGATTTTTTCCCTATTGTAGTGGCAGTACATCTTTGGACAGAGCAGTTCCGCAATCATAGGGTTTGTTTCAACACAGATAACCCGGCAGTAGTAACGGTTCTTTCTAGACAGTACGCGCGTTCCACCAGGGTGGGAAATTTGTTACGGTCCTTCGTCCTTCTGTGTCTTGAGCAGAATATATATTTCTCAGCCAAATTCGTACCTGGCATTAATAATGACATCGCGGATGCTCTGTCTCATTTTCAGATGGAGCGCTTCCGCTCATTAGCGCCGGATGCGGAGCAATCATCGATGCCTTTCCCGGAGCATCTCTGGAGTATTGGGAGCAAGAAGTGAGTGATGAAGGGAGTATTCGGTGCAGTTGCCCCTTCCACAATGAGATCATACAAGAAAGCGTGGGCTGACTTCTTAAAGTTCCGCAGCAGAATACCCAGCATGAGGCAGAATTCCATTCCCTCAATGAGGGAGGTCCTCCGCTACTTAGCCCACCTGAAGGAGCTGGGCAGGGCACCAAAGACTCTCAATATTCAGTCCGCGGGGATCTCATATTTTTGTAAAGCCTTTTTCGCCACCGACCAATGCGCTGAATTTATAGTGCGTAAGACTTTAGAGGGTTGGCGCTGGCTCCAGCCCTCCAGCTCTGACAAGAGGAGGCCCATAACTTATGATATTCTGACCCAGATACACAAAAAATTACGAGCAATATGCTGGTCAAAATATGAAGCTCGCCTATTCTCTGCCGCTTATTCCATAGCCTTCTTTGGTGCCCTGCGCATAGGAGAGGTAGTCTGCGAGGGAGGGGTTGCTCACTGCCAGAGAGGCATCCTCTTAAGTGATCTGACCCTATCAGGGACTGACCTAATCGTTCAAGTACGGAGCTCTAAGACGGACCAACAGGGTAGGGGGGCCCTCCTTCGGTTACCAGCCGCACAAGGTAGTGGTCCCTGCCCGGTTAGGGATACGAGGCGTTTCCTCTACTTAAGACCCAATAGCCCCGGCCCCTTTTTAATTCACGCTGATGGATCGCTCTTGGCCAGACACCAGTTTACGCGGGTGATGCGCATGGCTTTGGCAGCATGCGGACTGCCTGTGGCCTAATTTGCGGCTCACTCCTTTTGGATCGGGGCAGCTACCACCGCAGTGCACCTCGGGTTCTCCACAGAGAGGATAAAGGACTTGGGGTGGTGGAAATCTAATGCATACAAAGCTTATGTGAGAAAGAATCTATGACTAGCGGTTGTACTCCTGACCTTGGTTTTTCTGTCTATTTGCTTTTCAGAATACAAGAGGGTGCACATTTGGTTGGTGGGCCACAGCAACCAAATGTGCATTGGGCCAAGAATCGTGACATGAGTTCCGGGTTGGGGCAAAACTTGAACTTACTTGAACTTACCTGCAAATGTTGAGCTGACGTGGATAGCGTGAAGAGGGATGCGCTGGAGCGAATTCAAGCCAGCCATGATGGCGAGAGCCGCCTCTGAGGGCCCACCTGATGCCCTGGTTATCCAGTTGGGGGGAAACGACCTAGCGTACCGCAAAGCTATTGACTTGAGATGGAACATTTTTGATGATTTTGCTGATCTGATAGCGGTTTACCCAAACATTACTATCTTGTGGTCCTCATTGCTTGAGAGGAGGACATGGAGGGATTGTTTGAGCCCGGTTGGAATCAATAAAGCAAGAAAGGTCTTGGAGCAGGCTGTGGAGCATAGAGTGGCGGCTCTGGGCGGGTGCGTCATAGGCCACCCAGGCATCCAGTACAGCAACGAGGCCCTCTACAGATGGGATGGTGTGCATCCGTCAGATGCTGGAAACGATATTTGGTTGGGGGACATCATAGCAGGGATTAGGAGTTGGTTACAGGTTTGAAGGTATTGGCGGCGAGCTTTGCTTGAGTGGCGGTCAGGCATTGGCAGGGGTTAATTGTTATGCAAATGAATGGGGGGGAAGGAAGCACCATCACCTTCCCCCAAAGAAAAGGGTAGTCCGGTAGAGGACTCCGGGGGGGCATTGCCTTGTCCGAAACCTAGGGAGGTAAGGGCCTCCGGCATGCCCCCGAGCGGTGACACCCGTGGGATCCTAGTTGGCGTACTTCAACAGGACTCCCACGGCTTGTGGATAACCCTTCCCGGTCTCCATGCCGGGTAGTCGATAGGAGCCAGTGCCTAAGGCCAATACCTTTCAATTCTGTAATCAATAAAGTTGTGGCCTTTTTATGCCCATTAACCTTAAATAATGTGTCCAGTGTCTTCATTTCACATGGGGGAGGGGACTTGCCACGCAACCAGTTTCTGGAAACTACAGGAGGGGAGAGGGCTCTTGTGCTCAGGACCTGCTGACAGGTTTCCCTAGGCATATGGTTGTCCCCTGGGACAGTAGGATGCTGGACAAGATGGGCCTATGGTTTGATCTAGCAGGGCTTTTCTTATATTCTTATGTTCTACACAGTGGGGCAAAGTTGGCAATATCTGTTACTAGAAATGCCTATGACACTGAATTTAGAGATTTGTGTTCAGGAGAAATTTCCATGGATATCTGAGGAAAGCAAAACAGAGCTTTGATTAGACTAGCATTTCCTTGTTTGCAAGGTACAGTTATTAGTTTTTTCTCACCGACTTGTTACATAACCCAGCTGACTGAATCCTCTTACATTTTAGGATGAAAAAAAAGCTTTCAATGCTATTACATAAAAATGCAAGGACGGACTCTCTTTCTTTCCTTCCCCCACACCATAAATCTTCCATGTACCCAGAAGAGCCCAAGATATTTTTTTAAAAAAACAACATCTGCAATATTCTGTCATTGATGGTGGAGTAGATTGTTTGCCAAACTATTACCATAACTGTCAGCTGAAATCAGAAAAATAATCTCATTGCCCCCTGAATGAATGCCTTTCTAGAATTATTGATAGAGATGCTCCAGAGTCTTGAAGAAATATAAAACATAGTGCTATTTACAAAAGGGAATTTGGCCAAGTCCTTGAGACATAGAGCAAGGGACAAGCATTTACAGAAAGTGAGATATAGTCTGCTCGTTCAAAGTTATGAGCTAGGGGGAGGCAGCATCCAGAGACAGCTGCAGGATTTCATTTCTCTTGCTCTCATTTTGCAGTGGCCTTCTTCTTCCATTCACCCCTTTGTCCTTACAAAATGACTTTGCTGTGGGTTTTAGTGCCATGAGGCTGCATGGAATTGTGCACTGCAGTAGGGCTTGTGATGTCTACATAGCCTGTCTGTGACAACAGCAAATGGCTGTCAAACAGACCAGGGGAACTTCAAGCCTGGGGGACAAATGTGGCCCTCTCCGCCTGGCCCTCGTAACTCTCTTAGGCCGCATCCCTTGCTATCTCTCCTTTGCATCTTCCTTGACAGGTTTTTCCTGGCTGGAATTTATACTTGAACTCTGATAATACCTCTTGCTTACTTGAATGGAGGAGGTTTGTGTGTGTTAGTGTGTGTGTGTGCAGAAACTAGCCCACAGCACAAAGGTAAATATTGCATTTGTTGCTCCAACTACCACTGGTTTGTGGTCCTCAGGAGGTGGCCCAGGATGTGGCCCTCAGGTTGAAAGAAAGGTTCCCCACATGTAAACAGGAAACCAGTATGTCTGTGCAGAGGCCTGCTTGACTTTATACAGCTTTTTTTGTCACACACAAATGGGGCAACACATCGGACACCCTTGGAAAGAATAGGAGCAAAGGCTGAGGACTGAAAGAGACATAGCCTGCAGCTTCTGAGACTTCGACTTCTAGTGGTTGGGGCATGGGAAAAGCATGGGGAGAGCAAATGCCCCCCTTTCTTCTTCAGAGTCTAGATGTCAACCACTTCTGAGCAGGAGGGGATCCCCCATCCTTAAGTCTGGATAGAAGCTGGCCCAGGGATGGAGTACTGATTGCTCACTTGATGAATGCAATGTGTGAACACTCCTTCAGTTTCTCTCTCTCTCGCTTTTTCATTTTCAGTTCAGTTTGCTAAATTTCTGCATCACTTTGCAATTTTGTTTTAATTCTCATGAAAATTCAGCTGCATTTTCATTCCCATTTCTCTTAATAAACATATTTCATGGAATTTTGCACATTTTGCAAACAATTTTCTCTTAAGTATGACATTTTAGGTGTGTTGTGATTTCCACAAATATATGCATTTCTATGCACACTTTCCCCTCATATACATATTTTTGTACACAATTTTGTGAATTGCATTGCAAAATTCATAAAGGTATGGATTTCAAAGAATAGCTGTTTTTCAGTTTTCCTGTTGTTACAGGAAGTATGAATTAAGCAGATTTGCATTAAATGCAGACCAAACCTAACCCCCCACAATCACCTATATCCTCATTAGAAAACAACCCAACATAAGCCCCACCCTCTCCACTTCTGCTGAGGGGGAATGAAAATAATCTTTGATTGAGATGGATGTGCCAACAAATGTCCTTTGAAATGTTGAGCCCCAGGGAAGACCACTTAAAGACCACACAGTTTTCCCTAATTCAGTGAAAGAAAGCACACGTTCTAACATTTCGCGTAGGAAATAAAGGGCACGTGTGATTCTAGCCCCCCAACTCTAGTCTCATGGCATAGATAAGCAAGGGAAGCCTTCATGAGGACATTCAAACCTATGGGGCTTTTTCAGATCAGGAACTGTGCATATATCTGGGTTACTTTAAAAAACCTGGAGTGTATGTGTGTTTAATGTACAAGAATGCTTGCAATATGCAGGAATTGTTGGTGGAACCAATTTTTTGTTCTTGTTTTAAGCCCCTACATATAAAGTTGTTGTTGTTGTTGTTGTTGTTGTTGTTGTTGTTGTTGTTGTTGTTGTTAAGATCAAGGAGCAAGTTGGGGATTAGGGGATGGGGATCCAGTCCAATAAGCTCATCACTGAGATTTTTTTGAAAATCTCCCCAATTTCTGAATTAATTGGGGGAATTCTCCAGCTAGATTCTGAAGAACCAAAATTCAGGGTAGGGTCAATCCATCGTGCAGTAAACAAGCAGCACAGGAGCAGTCCAGTCTTTTTTAATGTTGCTGTTTGGATGTTGGCCTAAGTTTTGCGATCAGATGTTTCTGGTAGATGCCTCTGCACATAAACGCACATCGCCACCCACTCAAGTTAGTAGCTCAAGAGTGTTTTTAATTGAAAACCATAAATTTGGCCTACTAAATCTACTAACGATTCATTTTAATTAGGAACCCAGCTGCTTCCAGAGATTTTGCAGCCTGTGTTTTAGAACTTGAAGCATACTTAAATGAGTCTCCAGTGAGCAGCTAGCAAGTTTTCAAAAAATCAGCATTTTCTCCAACTTCTTGGTGAAGACCAGAAAACGCAAGGACTTTCCACATGGATGAGATTGTCACCTTTGGATAAGTGACACTTCCTCAGGACTAGCATTCTCCTCAGCTGCAGGGATGATGTGAAAATCAGCTGCTGAACAAAGTGTTCCGAAATAAGCTTGTCTTTCATGAGCCTTTCAGCTGTTCTTCTCATACAGTTAGTGGGAAAAGAAAAGAAGCTAGACTGGATGTTCAGCATTCACCCTCCACTCCCCCTAGTGGTTCAACAGGAAAACAACTATACATAGCCCATTATTGCAGGTAAGAGCAGCACACCTTGTGAAGCACAGAAGGAAAATTTCAATTCCAAGATGAGCTTTGAACTGGACACAAGAATAAGGAAGCAGAAAGAGTGACTCTGAGAATGCAAAATGGAAAATGAGCTCTCTTTGTCTCTCTCTCACACACCCACACACCCACACTTTTAATTTGACATTAGTCTGTCTCAAGATCTGTTAGATCTAAGAACCCATTAGAGCAAGGGGTCTTACCCCTGAAGGAGTACTGAAGGTTGTCCCTCTGGTGACCTTAGTTCTCTTGTCTATCATTCTTGCTCTTGAGGTGGAGAAAATAAGTCCATTCTGTTCTGTTTTTGCATTTTTCTGTCATTTTTAGACCCCTGCAAAATTGTATTAATATGTATTAAAATACATCTTTTGAACACATTTATCGCAATTACTTAATAGCACACATCGTAGTATCTCATCAACAGGGAAGTGGTGAGCAAATTGTTGGAAGGAATTAGAATCTGTGAAAGAAACACCATGTAATCACTCCATGGTGAACTGGTAGATCAGTGTTGATAACTTTGGCAGACTTTTGGCAACTGTGATATAATGATTTATGAAGAGGTGGTTGAGCTCATGTTCCAGAGGGGTAACTTGGAGATGGAGCAAGGAAAAATGAGGCCAATCCCAATGCATATAGATGGCACCAATAGCCCCAGACCAAATGGAAACCCATGTGGTCATTTTGTCTAGCCAGTAGAGGACTATGTGAAACTAGGCAGACAATATGTTTGCAGCTCTGCTGTCAACATGCCAGAACAGGCCTAGAAGAGATCTACACTCTACCCTCTGAGAGAACACACAATGAAGTGAGCCCAGCCAATGTAATCTGGGTGCAGCAGGTATCCTAACCTATTTATCAAACCCTTGTAGAGTCTGGAATCCCTTGAGGAAAGGGATTACAGAATGGCAAATCAAGTTGATGGACTATGCCGAAATGGCAAAGTTAACTGAGAAGCTCAGGAACCAAGAAGACAATAAATTTAAAAAAGAATGGGAAATGTTTATAACGTATATACACAATCAATGCAAATAGGTCAAACCATTAGCAGGATTCTAAATACACTTGTAATGTAAAAGAATGTACAAATCACCAAGGAAGATGAAAAATTGGAGAAGTATTGGTATGCAGTTGAAAACAGAATTAAGAAGACCCATGGATGGGATGGGAGGGAGTCAGGAGATTCAGAGCAATCTCGATATGTGGAATTTGTATGCTCTTTTGATGTAAGTTTTTTCTTTTTCTTTTTCCTCTCTTTTTCTTTCTTTTCTTTCTTTATTTCTGAAATCAAATAAAAAATATTTTTAAAAAGCGGAAAATAATTATCAAACATTACTCTTTTAAAGCCCTAGGCAGCATCAAAGGAACACGGGACATTGCTTTATACTGAATCGGACCCATTGGTCCATCTAGTTCAGTATTGTTTACACTGACTGGCAGCATCTTCTCCTGGGTTTCCCTCCCAGCTCTATCTAGAGTTCTTGGAACTGGGAGCTTCTGCAAACAAGGCAGATGCTCCATCACTGAACTATGGCTCTTCCATTCCATCTGCATGCTCTGATAGCAATGTCCACCACTACTGCCTTTCTCCATACCACCTATGGAAGAACACAATAGTGGCTACCCCTCAAAGAACATGATGCCATGTATGACAGCAGTGGAAGCCCAAGAGGCAGTGCCTGCCTTGCTTCTCCCTCTGCTGCCTCCACTGCCATTGCTATTTTGACTTTTCTTAATATTTGATTGAGCTTTCTGGGCATGTTGGGCAAAAGATTCCTGCATTGCAGGGAATTGGACTAGATGTCCCTTCTAACTCTATGTGATTCTATGATCTCCAGGTAAGGCTGGAAATATCCCCTGCCTGAAGCTATGGAGAGTCACTGTCAGTCAGTGTGGACAACACGGAGCCAGGTAGATGAATGGTCTGATTCAATGTAAGACAGTTCCCTATGTCCCTAAATGAATGTCCATAGATTTCAGAAAAGAGCACCCACATCTCTGCTTAAGCAAGACCAGCTACTGACGTCTTTGGCTGGGTTGAGCTGAGTTCTGTACAGATATCTAGTGAGTTGCGGGGTGGCAAGGTAGGGAGACCAGGAGAGAAATATTTAGCTGTCTGATGAAATGTTTTAAATGCATAGGGTTCACCTTGGGGTTGTTTTCTGCTCAGATTTCATCCATTAGTAACACGTAGGACTGCCTTGGTACTCTCAAGGGCTGATAGGAAAAACAGCACCACTTACAGTTCCTTTGGCTTGCCTGAGGGAGGAAACACCAAACACGGCCACCATCATATATTCAGGACCTGGAATTTACTCCATGAAAAAAACGAGGGTGTGGGTGTCTTTACAGTCGTACCTCTGTTTACGTAACCCTCTGGTTATGTAAACTTTGGGATGTGCACGTGGCAAACCCGGAAGTATTTTATCGGGTTTCGCCACGCGCATATGCACAGAAGTGGTCCTCAGGTTGCGGAAACCTCAGGATCCGACCAGACCTCTAGAACGGATCCGTCCGCAATCAGAGGTACCACTGTATATTGAAAGTCAGGGATTCCTCTAAATCAACACAAGAGAGTGTAGGGGGAGCAAGGGGTGTAGCTCAGTGGCAGAACATCTGTCTTGCATGCAGAAAGCCCCACCTTCAGATGGCGCTGTGGAGTCC